TTTATATATAGCTTGTAACTGCTTCAACTACCCTCTTTTATTGCGCACTGAAAAGTGAGCGGGTAATTTCACACTTGCTCCTGGATATTAGGTTTATTACACCAAGCTCTGTCTTAGAGTATACTTTGAGAGCAATCATATATTTTGGAAGAACAGGGTTTTGTAACAGAGCTAGTAGCAGGCCTTTATTATAGATATGATAGGAGTTCCCATCTCAGAATAGTAGAGGCTTTTTCACCGTAATTGGTATTGATTATCTTCCATCCACGTGGACTGTCACTTATCAGTACAGATGCCCTGGAAAGCTGCTTTTATGATGTGCCTGTGTACAGTACTGTAACTTCCTTTGTGGTAAAAGCAAGGTGATTATCACCTACGGTCACATCAGACCAGTCACAGAAGTTAATCACAGGTCTAGACATCCAGTGTGGAAGTCGGGGGAGGCAGGGATTATTAGCTCACAAATGGAGACAGGTAAGATTCCGCCTTAAAGGAAAACCAAATCAAAATGTAAAAACCCACCCCAAACCCACCCCACCCTCCCCCAAACAATAACAACAAAAAAACACACCCCAAAACAATGAACCAACCAACCAAAACAACAAAAAACACACCCCAAGAAGAAAACAAAGAGCTCCTTCAGCAGCTCCAACAAGGGCTCTACCAGGAACACTAACAGGGGGCTGTTAGTGGATCAGGAGGGGATAGCAGGAGGAACAGCTTTAAGTGCTCTTACTCATCTTTTGTGGCCACAGGAAGTCTTCAAGTCAGTTCAGGCAAGCCTTAGCTATACCACTGCACTGAAGTGTGTTGATAAGGCCAAACAGTTGATTGAAGAGGGGAGGAAAGGAAGCGATGTCATGCTTTCCAAGGAAAGAAAGGACCAAGACGGATGCAACTTACTCTGGTCCACAGCATCACATTCCTACAAATAGAAAGCAATACTGAAGCTATTATTGTCCGCATTCAGGCAAGATGAAAGAGTTGAAAATAATGAGCTACCTATCTGAACACGTAAAAAAGGAAGTAAAGCATAGTGTAATGTATGATTATCAGACATTTCAGCTAGGCCTGAAACAGGGATCACGTGTTCTGCAAACTACCCATCAAACCTATCGTACTTAATTCCATCTGACAGATCAAATGGCTGATCTTCAGTGCATGTAAAATATCCAGATACCCAGCATCTCAAACAACCCAGGCCAGTTTTTACGAATAAAGAGCCTGAGCCTAGCACTGATGTAAATCACTGCCTTCTTTTATTCTGCCAAAATGACACGTTTGCATGGCTTGAAACATGAAAACGAGAGCAAGACTGTGTGCAGATAGCTAGGCAAAGAAAGTGGGGTTAAGATGAACAGAAGAAGGTTGCAAACAGCCAGCTTTAGGATAACAGAAGCTGCTGAGGGAATACAAGGCAGTCAAAACTTATGTTACTTTTCTAACACAGAACAACATAGTCAAAAAGCAATTAAAGGTACATGAGGCAGTGATCAACTGACTTAATTGTTCACCAACAGCCTCAGCCTGGATTGTCAGCTGTGATCATGTAGCTGCGGCTTAGGCAAGACATAGTGCAAGACATTTGTATATATGCTTTAAAACTGAGACAGTGACATAAGGGCTAAAAGAAGCTCACAAAGAGTCAGAAAAGAGAAGCATCATAGTGGGTGCCATACCTGGAGAGAATGATGCATTCATTTTGAAAAGCTAATGTTACAAACAAAAAAACATTTAGTAAAAGATTTATGGGGAGTTTATAGTTATTAATCATTTATAGGACAACCAGTATCTAGAGCAGTAAAGACAGATCAGAATCAAATGATGCAGAGCAGGTAGAACTTGTATCATGGTGAATTCTTTTTCAGGAAAGCAAAAATTTCAGTGCAACAGAAAAAGGGAGATGTAACTGGCTTAGCAGCATTAAATCCTGTGTATGGACTCAGCTTTGTTTGCATGTCAACAGCCACATACCCTCTATTATTGCAAAGAGAAAGCAGCTAGCAGGCAATCTCATTTGTAACATCAATTAGTAATGTTACTATCAGGCCAGATAACACTAATACTCCAGTTCTATCTACCTCTTAAAATGACTATTTGCATATAGACAGGCATTTATTTGCAGGAAAAACATAGAATATAATGTCAGTGAAAGCAACACAACTGTGGTTCATCTGGACTAAAAGGATTGCAATATAAATAGCTTCCTGTGATATCACCTCAAAGTGAATGAGTTCCAAGGTCTGACAATAAATGATGTACACCTTTAGTGCCTTGCTCAGTGCCAGACCTCGTATCCCTTATGAGAAACAGTTGTGAGCTATAAGCACTCAAAACTTTACTGACATTTAGTTTAATGGAAGGAAATTACATTGCTTTCAATCAGCTCAGGAATATTCTGCTCTTAAATTGACTGTTAATTCCTAATGCAAGCCTGCTATCGGCCCATGCTGCTGTGATAGAAACCGCCTCTTCATTTGAAAGTCCCTCTGTTTTTCCACCAGAGGTGCCATAAACTGGTGCAGATTTCTTTTGTTCAATCACAAATGACAATAGGATTCTTTTCTAATACTCTTTGTACTCTAAAAGGCCCCTTCTGTGCTGCAGTGAAGTGCTACAACAAAACCATGAAAATAACCTACTAATACCTTCGAAGCTTTGCCAGATTTATCTTCTTATGCTTGGTTGTGGGATGCTTAATTCATGCTATTTTGAGGAAATTACTTTTCCTGTATTTCTTTATAATTTTCAAGTTAGCTGCTGGCTATCAAATTTCCCTTTCTAACAGAAATTAATACGTAATAGATGTCTTCACCTCCCATTATACTGTATCAGGGTGCTTTCTTTCTTTTCTCTCTAGAGAGGGGGAAAGATGAACCTACAATTTAGAGGGTTTGACATTATTTTAGGTTGATTATAATCGTGTAACCAGTTTTAAGGAGGTATTCCTTGAACTTACCTAGCAGGTTTGTAGGTTGACTTTCACTGCATCACCAACAGGATGCTTTCAAGAACAAATCAGACAGCTGATCCACAAGTAATTAAGGCAAGTGATATCCCAAGCCAGAGATTGAGAGTGCTCAGTCACAGTGTTAAGAGTATTACTGGCTTTAAGACGTTGAAAGCCCATCTGTGCCAGACTTCATCCATGCTACTTTTCATGCCACACACAGCACAGTCTTTTATAATGGGTTTCAAGAAACTTGGTGATTTCCTGTTTATATGCAACTGCTTTTAATCCTCAATAATACAATATTGTAAGATACCAGTTTTTGTGGTTTTTTTTGTTGTTGTTTTGTTCTTTTTTGTTTTTGTTTTTTTTTAATTTGGTTTTGGGGTATTTTACTTATTTATTTATTTAAGCAGCAGGAGGTTTAGGATCACCCTTTGTTCAATTTTGATATGATCTGTTCTCATCCAACAGCTTCGATGCCTTAGAGAATTCCTCACACAGATAATTTCTGGATCACTGCCTTTCACCTCAATTGTGACAACATCCCTGGTTCACAGAACAGCTGTTTTTCTTTAGCATGGAAAGGGGTACCTGCAAAATTATATAGGAAACAGCTAGGCTGGAGGGTTGGTTTTATTTAGCTTAACACCATATATGTTGAATGCCTTCATGTCTGATCATTCGCTGGGATGTTTCCTTTGAAGAGGTCTTGATTTGGTATGGGGTGTTCCAGATGTGAATTACACCTCTATGGGGTGATTGGAAGAGATGTTGCCTGGACCTTTCTAGGCTGTGTTCTGCACCCCTGCCTGTACCTGAGTAGGACCAGTGAGACGTGGAGCTACCTTATGCCTGTTTAACAGCACAAAGATTCGTTTGTCTAGAAAGATATTAAATTGCCCTATAAACCATTGCTACATAAAGTGAGTTACAAGAACCTAAGATACACTGTTAAAATCACATTTCTGGGGGACATAAATGTTAAAACATCCTGGTTCACAGTTTGGATTTTAGGGCCAAATTTTCAAGAGTGTGATCTATCTTTAAAGCATCATTTCCTTGTGCAACATCCTGCTTACAGGATGCAAGTAGAAAAGGTGGAACTGGATTCTTTTACCTTTCTCTGATTTCCTGTCATAAAAAAAAACAGGTTTTCAATCAACAGCTTAATGTCTGACAACCCTTTATCTTGCTGCTAGCACTTAGCTTAATGACAGGTTCCTCTTCCGAAAGCTGAGATCTGACACAGCCCTATTGCAGGAAATCAGAAAACAAATAGCATGCTAATCAGTTCACACGTGGCCTCATCATTCCTCACCACTGCTTGCTGCAAGTAGGACCAGGAATTTTTCCATCAGGTCCAACCAACATTCCATGTACTCTTCAGCAGGAGTCAACAACGGGAGAAAAGCAAATAAACCAGGATGCAAGCAGCCAACACACGCTCAGCAAACTTGCAGTGAAAGGAGGAAGAATGGGTTGCAAGGGGATAACTCTTTTTGAGACATCAGTGTGCATCCTGAAGCATGAAGTCTGACAGCACCAAGAAGTTGTTAGCTCTCCAGTTTAACTACAAGCATTACTCATGCTGTGCCTTATCATTTAGACTTGTATTAACATATAGCTTTATTTACTGCTCTCTGACATCCTATTTCTCCTAGCACAACACAGAAACGTTGGGCAAGTTGAATTATAGGAGCTATAACACCACAATGCTATTTTTCCAATTGTATATACATTAACATTCTGATGCCTTTCTTTTGGGAATGAAATCTGTAACGCTAGAGGCCTGGTCTTTATCCACAGCAAAGCCATCTATTTAGATCATTTCTCCCCCTTTAATCTTTGAGGATGTACGTAGGGGTGGAATTTTGAGACATCTGCACTAAAAGTGGTTCTGTCTCCTTGATGCTCGAGGGAATGTGAGAACAATCCAATTCAAGAGAAGTTGCTTGTTTTTTGCTCTGAATAAGAAGCTGTTGCAACGAACGGTGAGCTGCTTGAAAAATAGCTTGGGAGCTATTCTAATGAAAAGGCATAAATACAAACACACCTTCACGGGAGCAATGTAATTAGTCTTCTTGTCAAAGGCATGACTTGCAATATCGCGGTGCAAACAGCTAGTGCCAAATCAAAGAAGCATTAATCCCAAGTTGATCTGATCACTGGAATAATACTACCAACACGTAAGATGAGCTTCATCATCATTCACGAGCTAAAAGATAGGTGGAAATATTTGTGGTTCTGCATACAAATGTCCTTTCCAAAACACTTGGTGACTGGATTGTGTACACAAAACACATGCTCCTGAAGCTGGTGTCTCACACAGCCAGCGTCAAAGGCAGCCCAGATGTAATTGTCTTGCTCTGAACTGCTGCACTGGTTTCAAAATGAAGACGTTAAAACCTGTAGTCAATCTCTATAACTGCAAGGAAACTTTCCACTGAGATATGAGGTATGGTACATTTTAATCAGCATATTAGCCTGGAGAAGAGAAGGCCGCATGGAGACCTCAGAGCAGCCTTCCAGTATCTGAAGGGGGGCTATAGGGATGCTGGGGAGGGACTCTTCATTAGGGACTGTAGTGACAGGACAAGGGGTAACGGGTTAAAACTTAAACAGGGGAAGGTTAGATTGGATACAAGAAAGAAGTTCGTTACTATAAGGGTGGTGAGGCACTGGAATGGGTTGCCCAGGGAAGCTGTGAATGCTCCATCCCTGGCAGTGTTCAAGGCCAGGTTGGACAGAGCCTTGGGTGAGATGGTTTAGTGTGAGGTGTCCCTGCCCATGGCAGGGGGGCTGGAAGTGGATGATCTTAAGGTCCTTTCCAACCCTGACTATTCTATGATTCTATGATATTTAGAATTCTAAAGGGTAAGAGTCTTAGGAGAGTAGCTTTTTAATAGACACACCAACATCTGTGTGCTTGAGGGAAAAGTGTTAAAGGTTCCCTGAATCACCACCATGATGAGAATCACCAGTAAGAGCTAACCACACGTTTCTGTTTTGGTGTGCAGTGAATGTGAGTCAAACAAACAGAGGGTTATGTGAAAACAAGTGTGCGATAACAGCAGGAGTACATACTTATTGCTGGCAGATTTAGAGATGGTTCCAGGGGAGCTACTACCTGTTGCAATGCTATCAGTGCTATTTATGCATTAAAACCTAAGCACACCAGTTTAACGTTAAATGGGTTAATTCTCCCTGTGCAATCAAATGTCACTTAGGGTGTACGTGAGTTCCTGTAACTGCCTTGCACCTTAGGCTGCTCTTTGCTTGATCTTGTTATTTTGAGTCTTCCTTGTGTGGCATTTACCAGAACAGCTTTCTTTTACTGTATCCCCTCTTCCGTGTGCCTCTGGCTGTCAAATGACAAAGCGAAAACTTGTGGTTTAGTGACACTGTTGCTTGGGCACACAAATGCAGATACCCCAGGGAAAATCTTTGATTCCTTACTCATTTAAAAGCTGCCTCAGAACCTGAAATAAGGCTTTGCACGCTGTCAGAAAGGAAAACACAAAATCATTTACTATACCCACTCCAACAGCATTTTAAGGCCATCTGGGGGGGTATGAGGGGCAAGGAACCTTTTGACAATAGCAAGATCAATCCATCCCCCAAGAAACTGACTCTGTAATGTGTCTAAAGCAAGCAAGATACAGTGCTTGGTGCCTGCTCACATCAACCTCTTTTTTTTTGAGGTTTGTTTTGCCTTAATCTCTTGGTAGTCAGCCCGCAGAGCTCTAGCGAAGAAACTGCTTGCTACCATGGTGGCACAGCAGCGAGTCACTAGGGAGCCCACAGGCAGCTGTGTAAAACCATAACTCAGAGAGCAGCACAGGACGCTGCCATGGCTGCTGCATAGGTACTTGTGTGGTTCTCACTACCTGTGTTAGCCATCATGAAGAGGTAACAGGGCTTGGAAAGGAAGGATAAATATTTTACTTAAAATTAGGTAGGTTGAATCACTTTTGATGGCATTTGCACAATCTTTCGTGTTTCTGAAAGCACACTGCTTGGTTACAAGATAAACACTGCAAACACAGAGCGGATGTCAGGTGGGAAATAAGGGATTGCAATACTGTACCTCGGGAGCATGGGGATAACTCTCCATCTTCAAAAAGGAAAAGGACTGCGTTTGTCATCTAGGTCATCTGGTTTGCACTGGGGATGGAAGTCTCTGTTCTGAAGTACAGTACCTTGCAGAGCCTGCTTTTTTTGCATGTAGCCTTTTTTTCCCTATGCTTGTCTAGGCACAGAAAGAACAGAAACTGATCCCTCAAGGAAGACCAGTTTTGGTGTGCTTTTGTGACCATTCACTTGCTCCTTAGAGAAGGGAAAAGGCCAGCTACCCTGAAACCTGCCCTTCTGGTTTGGTTAGTCCAGTTAAGCATTGCCTGTGTTCCTGTTTACAGTGTAAATCATGAGTAAGTGTAAAGCCTGACCTTTCCCCAGTAACATGAAATGGGTTTCCAATCAGGTGCACTGTGTCCGTAAGACAAAATGTGACTTTGTCTGGGGGCAGGCATCTATTTTGCATTATATAAAGCCAAAAGCTGACTGTGTGCATGGAGTATTTTCACTTTTATTCTAGCACCGTTTCGCAGGTGTTTATCAGAAAGTATGAAACCAAACAATGAAACGCATTTGTTCCTGGGGCTCTGTGCCTCCAGAACGAAGAGCTGTTTGTGGTCCTAATGAAAAAGCCCTCAAGGAAAAAAGCGCACGAAATTTAGGCACTTAATTATATCTGCCTGTCATTAAATGGTAAAGGCTCTCTGAATGACTGCTCAAAAGGTTAGCAACTGACATTTGAAGTTAATGCTTAGATTCAGTATGCCCCCTGATGTCGTGGCACAAAGAAAAAACTACAGAAACCAGCTGCAAACACCCCTTTCAAAAGGAATTCTAGCTACTCTTACAAACCTATGGAGAGAAAAGGTCACTTCAGCTGTGGAGCCCTGCACTTTCTGAGGTGATGCATCCTGGGCATGTCATAGAATCATAGAATAGTTAGGGTTGGAAAGGACCTTAAGATCATCCAGTTCCAACCCCCCTGCCATGGGCAGGGACACCTCACACTAAACCATGGCACCCAAGGCTCTGTCCAACCTGGCCTTGAACACCACCAGGGATGGAGCATTCACAACTTCCCTGGGCAACCCATTCCAGTGCCTCAGCACCCTCACAGTAAAGAACTTCTTCCTTATATCCAATCTAAACTTCCCCTGTTTAAGTTTTAACCCGTTACCCCTTGTCCTGTCACTACAGTCCCTGATGAAGAGTCCCTCCCCAGCATCCCTATAGCCCCCCTTCAGATACTGGAAGGCTGCTATGAGATCTCCACGCAGCCTTCTCTTCTCCAGGCTGAACAGCCCCAACTTCCTCAGCCTGTCTTCATACAGGAGGTGCTCCAGTCCCCTGATCATCCTCGTGGCCTCCTCTGGACTTGTTCCAACAGTTCTATGTCCTTTTTATGCTGTGGACACCAGTACTGCACACAATACTCCAGATGAGGTCTCACAAGAGCAGAATAGAGGGGCAGGATCACCTCCTTCGACCTGCTGGTCACGTTCCTTTTGATGCAGCCCAGGATATGGTTGCTTTCTGGGCTGCAAAAGTGTGCTCACAGTGACATCGTATCAGCTTCCTTACCCCCATGCAGGGCAATGTTACAGACCATTTCTGCCACGTGTTGACATTAATAGGCACCATCAAACACTTGAACTCTGTTTTGTGGTTTTGGGAAACTCAAGAAACAAGAACATGAAATTACCCTTCATTTTCTGCTTCTCAAAAGTCTTGAGGCTGGGTGTTAACTGGACCCTCCAGAAGACTGCAAGATGAACAGAATATGAATTTATTAAAAAAATCATTATAAAAAAATAGGATTAGTTTTAATGTTTTTTTATGAAAAACTTTAGGAACTTTATGAAAGTTTACATAATAATTTCTCATAGACAACGCTAGTTCAACATCCAAATTACAGCTCACCTTGTCGTTCTTCAAGAGCTATCATGCATACGTTTTCAACACAAATAAAACATGTTGTGTCTTTCCTTTCCTCTCTTCTTCTTTAAAAACTAAAGGTTTGTACTGCGTTTTGAAAGGTATACATGACACATCCTTTTCCTGCATTGCACTACATTGTAGAATTCATTTATTAAGCTTCGATAGGTAGCTTTAGCTCAGGAAGTGACCAAAAGGAGCTTAAGCGCTCTTCACCTGAAAATCCTCACGAGAGTGTGCAGTTTTGAGTGAAAAACTTGGAAAAATGGACGCTAGTGATAGCAGTGATGCTCTACTTGAAAAGACTGCAGTATAAAGAGGTAGTATAAAGCTGCCACAATAAAATGCATCCATTTTTCAAACTTCAATAGGCTCCATGCACAACTGAAGTGTTACTCTGTCTTAATTCAGACAGCGGAAAGAATATTTGTCTTACCTGCAAGAGTCCTTTGAAGGTATTACCACCAAGATAAAGGCAAATTCAGGGGATGTAGTCATATTTACATTTTCTAAAAGGCATTTGGCGAGGTATTTCAATCAAAGAACAGAAGATACAATGAAATATGGGATAGAAAAGCTGTCTGAAGTACAAAAGGAAAAGCTGCACAACCGTAAGCTCTTCCATTTGGCAGAGGATGCCAATAACTGCACTCTTTCTACCCTCTGGAGGGGCAGTTCTAGGAGCTACTTAGAGATTGCCCACAGAAGAATAAACTGCAGTTTAGGTGAATGAGAGATGTTATGAGAAACAAATAACCAGCAAGAGAGTCACACAAATCAGATGACTTTTCAAAGTAAAATTTTAGCACTTCTAGCCGGTGGATGGTGACTCAGGAAACCTTTATTTGCCCCATTTATGAACCATAAGTGAATTCGTATATTCTATATGTTCTAAACTCTTAATGTTACTGCATCCTTATCTCATCTTCCTTTGGGGAGAACTAACAGCTTGTCATAAACAAAGCAGGATTAAGTAAGGACTGCAAGCACTGGGCTAAAGAGAATGCAAAGCTTATACTTTCAGGCAATTAAATACCAAGGTAAAGAAGCTATGCAAAAGATTAACAAGCTTAACCAATGCTTGGAAAAGCAGAGAACTACATGAAGACAAGAGCAATCCAACTGGTTAAGTTGCTGAGAAGCAACATTCCCAGAAGAAATGCTTAAGCAAATACTACAATGAACAGAAAAGGTGGGCATTTGCCAAACTGAAAGACAGATGTTGAATCACAAAGAACTTAACTTGTAACTTAATTCAGTTGTAATTGCTGATCAATTTATTAACTATGTAGGGAGAAAGAATTTGCTCTAGAGAAGAAAGAAATATGAAAAGAGAAGTTCATGTTTAATATTAAGGAACTTGTTTGTAAATCTCTAAAGAAAGGAAAAAGTATCAAAAATACTAGGTGAGCTGAAAGGGAAAAAAGAGAAGAGCATTACTCACCTTGCAAAGACCATCACAGGAGGTGGGGGTGATGTGCTTTCCTGGTTGAATTGATTTCAGTTTTGCTATTGAAAACAGATTTCAGAACATCCACACAACGACATCCCTGTGTGATCATACTTCTGGCTGCCAGCTTTTGCAAGGCTTGAGATGCGTCCAAGCATCTGATTCTTATATAAACTGTGGTCAGAGATCCTTAATAAGCCAAACAGATATTGCCCAGAGCACTGTGGTAAAACCCCAAACAAAACTAACTTCCCCAAAATGGAGGGACTTGAATGGGAAATCAAACGAAGCAACAGATAAACGGGTGTCACCACAGAGATGCAGAGGACGTCGCTGTGAAACTGAGGACAGGCAAAAAGGGAGAATTGGAAGAATCAGGATCTGCCAAAGATGCAGTTAACAGTGAGACAGAGAGGAGACTCCATGGTGTAGGAGAAAAGCCTGACCTTCTGGAGTAATATATAAGGGAGAGGATAGAGGGGGGAATGAAGATGAGTGTGAGAAGACATCAAAGTGTACCCTGCAGCACACTTGGAAGTGGTGAGGGAGCCATGGCAGGACGGTGCACTCTTTAATTCCCACCATCAAAGAGCTGGAAAGAAAAGAAACATTTTGGAAATCCCGTGGAAAAATCCCTCTTCTTCAGCTATCACATGTGTCCAAAGACATAAAGCACAAAGGAGCCACAGGTTTCCTTGAAAAGACAGTGCTTGCCACTCTGGAAACTCCAGCGTGGAATAGGTGCCACTTTCAGAAGGAAACGTCAATAGATGACCACGTGTCCCAGAGCACACCAGGATGCCAAAGACTCGTACTCATGGAGGCGTAGCTCTGCATAGCTCCACAGTGGTAGCACAGCACAAATCCAAACACTGCAGCACGCTCCAGCTGCTGGGGATGAGGCAGAAGGGGATAGGGGGTGCGATGCTGCACAGCCTGTGAGCGAACAGCACAATGAATTGTGATACGAGAACTGATCTGATGAGAATTACAGACTTCAGTTTAATATAAACTTGTGATGCTAGAAAACAAATAAAACATGAAACAGTTTCCTGTCCTTTTATCACTACACAGTAAAGGGTAGGAATTACAACACGCAAGGCACTATGTCTTCATCTCTGATTATTCATAATAACTCTATCAAGCCCCTTCTTGGAAAACAGTAGAATGATTTGGTAAAGAGCATGATGTGACCGACAGGCGGAATGAGGTGGCCAAAAAATGAATATGCTAAGCAAGTTTTAAACTAGTTGATAAGGAAAATTCAATTGTTAAGATGGCAATTAGACATTTAATAAGGAAAAGTCTTATGACTTCTTTTTCCCTTGAGACAAGACAGAATTGGAAATCAGGATGGAAAGAATGATGCTATGTATCACAAAGGGATAACTTGACCAAGCAGCAATTTTCTGTTCCTTAAATATGGCAGAAACAAGCAGATGTCCTTTTTCACACTATTAGAAATCTGTTTCTGAGAACAAGCACTTTGCCATCTGAAGGAGCACTGTACCATACAGTTTTGTGATGCAAATTCCTGCAAACAGCAGATGTTTATTTAACCCCTGCCCCTTGGTCTAATGCTCCAAATTCTTGATGCAGGAGTTCTCCTTGGAAACCAAACGCTGGGCTCAGGCTTAGGCTCAGGATCTTAAAAAGGCTTGCATTTGTTCTCCTTCTGACCACTGTTTCTATGAACTAAGGAAGGTGATTTTCCTAAGAGCATTTAACAAATAACTTGCCTTTAAACTCCTGGTGTCTCCTATTCCTAACAACCTACAATTCCTAACATTATTACTACTTCAAAGCAAACACTGGTTTCTGTATTCCAGGTATAGGAGAAGGAAGGTCTACAGCTTTAGAACTGGTCACTGTCTGTTTCATTCCAAGCAAACTTGAGGTTTAGCAAAAAATGTATAATTCTTTCAGGTGTTATTAACTTGTATAGTGCATTTGGATAAGAGGTTACTGCAGCTGATTCCAGAATCCTAAAACTTATCTAAAAAACCCTGAGTTGAGATAAAACAGAAAAAACACCTGAAATGTAGCATGATTGTTTAAATCAGGGCAGTTTATTTCAAAATAGACCAATTTTGAGATTTTTCTGTTTTTTTAATAAAGTGGGTTCAAATAAAGAATCTTTAACTGGCAGTTGGTAACCCCATAGGTGCCACAGGCTAGTACCATGTATCCCACGATCCATCCAACCACCTTGCGTTTTATCCACTTTTCCAGGAGACAGGGATGGAATGCAGCCCAGAAAACAAACAAAGAACTCCATCCAGTGTTCAGTTGTCAAATCCAGATTGAGTTCAGCAGAACTTTCCAAAGACAAACCACAGATGACCTGAAAACTGGATAATCTTCACCTAACAGCTCACCAGGGACTGCAGATTTGCCAGTTCCTTTTGATGTCTCTCAATTGACTCTCTTAAGGTGATGCTTTCTGTCATTTGAGCAGGTTGGACAGAGCTTTGGGTGCCATGGTTTAGTGTGAGGTGCCCCTGCCCATGGCAGAGGGGTTGGAACTGGATGATCTTAAGGTCCTTTCCAACCCTAACTGTTCTATGATTCTATGATTTCAAGCACAGCACTGTTCTCATATCGCGTTGTTCTCCAGAGTGACTATAAGAAGGGCTTTGTTTTATACAATAGATCCTTCTCTGAATGCGCTCTGTGTAATTCCTGTTAACATCAAATAACAAAAGAGGCATTTTTCAATCGTAGCTGGTAGCTCTAGGAAGCATACACCGCTCAGAGAGAGGCACACTAACATTGCTTACTAGAGCTACAAAAAATCTGAGCTGTTAATTGCACTGAAGGAAGGCAAAAGCCACATGTAAAGACTATGCTAAAATCATACCACCAGAGCAGAGCACTAAGGCAAAGGGTCTGGCTGAGCATCACAGGGACAACAGCTTTTCCTTGCCGCTGCATTTCCTTCAGTACAGCAACCAGAAGTAACTTTTGATGCGAAATTTCTTTTACAAAGTTAATTTTCAGAGTGGAACTGCCCCAGGGTGCAGGTCCCCAACACGGTTTTGTATCTTATGCCTAAGGAAAAGGGACCCCAGCTCTCTCCATGGGCGTGAATTAGGATGAATGCCTTCACTGCTCCAGTACAGAACAGTTAAGATATCATTGCCTCTCAGTCACATATCTGTTTGCTGTCACCAGGATGAGGCCCTGGGAACTGAAACCATGACCATGATAGAAAGAGTGGGGTGATTCAAAAGCTACGGTCAGTATTAGGCTAGGTCCAATAGGAGCATATCATAAAACGGTCAGTGTGTCTGCAGAGATGGAGCAAAACCATTCACTATCATTAGATTATAAGAGTAAACTTATCCTAGGGAACTAGCTGTCAGCTGTGGCTTGAAAAGAATTGCTAGATGCTTTACTATCTATAGTTACGTATGTACCTATATAACAATACATCTACTCAACAAGAGAGTAAATCACAAACACAAAAAGTCATTCAACATTTGCTTTCTAGATGTACTTTTACTGGCTGTGATTTATTACTGTGGCAACACTGAAGGTAGCTAATGGAGGAACAACTACATTAAAAAGACTGAGCTGATGAACTGAAAGGTTACTTTCCTCCCAGGCCCTAGGGATTTTTGTGCAAGCCCTTAGACCCTCTACTTTCCATGATAGGGGAATGTATTTGAACTCTCCATGTAAGGTGTATATCTGGGGGCAACCCAGAGAGAGCAAATCACAGCAATTACCAAATCGTGGTAAATATGGGACCTGATGCCTAACCCTGTGCCACATTTTCCGTTTCTCCTGGATACTGTGTTTAACTGCATTCTTCATGCCTGATCATTTCTTGGAGCTTGTATTAATTTAACATATTAAGAGAAATTTAAGCAAATAGTTGTCACTAAAACCAAAAGTAAGCCCTGAAAGTAGCCCATCACAGATCAGCCCGCTTTTCATATTACCTGAACTACCTCCAGATCCCAGAATGAGTAATATTCAGAGTAGATGAAGTGCCATGACTTGAAGTGTGAGAGATGATAGCCCGGCCATAGCAGGAATGACTGAAACCTGCTGTCAGCCTTCTCATTAAAAAGTCAGGAACTGGGACCATAAATCCTACAAGGAGAGAAAATATGGTACTGTAGAAATGACATGACATTAAAAAACTAGCTGAAGTAGTTCCAAAATGTTTCCAAGAGTGATGTCCCTAACTGGAATCAGATTACTAAGGAAGACAGCATACATCATTTCATAGCTGGTATACTATAGTCCTGTAGCCCAATAAATGCTGTACTGCCAGTGCTAGCAGCAGTACCAAGTCAGCAGCTTGTCAAATAAGCTTACTTTGTCTCAGCTTCTCTTGAATGCCTGCAACGTCCCAATTTAGCTAGAATAGAATGTTCCTAATGACCAAGTGGTTATATCCGATTTGCATTATTTTTCTTACATTTGAATGGGATAACCACAGCTTTATATAGATATTCTCTGTAGAAGATGTGGTGTGATAGGAGAGGCCTTGAAAAGTGAGGACACAGGACATGGTCTAGAGAAGTGCAGTCATGGGGTGGTTGGTAGAAGGCAGGGCATAGGTTGCCATTGCAGGCCATCCCCCAGTAAACAACTCATCAGTCAGCTCAAGAAATGACTCAGAGCCAAGCAAAACCGCATTTTTTTTGGTGCAAAGAGAACAAAACCAATCATCTAACTTGCATGAGATCCACCATATACACGAAACTTGGCAGTACCATGAACTCATCAGTAAAGAGCAAGCAAGGTGCGTGTTAGAAAACACAGAAATACTACTTCAAGAAGTTCCTAAGACGAGGGGAAGAAACCAACAGTACTGTTTTCTTCATGGGTAAAGGATTTGAGCTGCACGAACCCCTCTTCTTTCTGATACCTTTGATGCTAGAACCCCAAGGGGCATTGGAAGGCTGAGCATAATAACAAGAAAAGTCTCAGAGACTGGGAAGTATGTGTATGACAACCCTATGTTATTATACTTTTTCTGTAAGCACTTTTTTGTCCTGTAATGACTTAATCTGGGGTAATAAATAATATTTGATTACAATATAAAGATTTCAAGTGGGCTTAAATTCTTGGCTTTACAGATGACGTGTTCCTTTATTTGCCTTTAATGAAAATTGGAAGGTAATGATACAAAGATACAATTCTGCTTACAGAGGCCGTTTCATGCCAGGATTTTTACATAATTAACATGTGTTATTCACAACAATGATCATTCCCCTCCTTCACCCTTCCAAATGTAAAAGCAGAACAAACCCCACTGTCCTGGTTTAAGCTCAGTCGGTAACTCAGAACCACGCAGCCACTCACTCCCTCCTTTCTTGCCTCCCACTCCCAGTGGGGTGGGGAGGAGAACTGAAGGAATGTAATCACCCATGTGAGTTTTCTTTCCTAGTACAGTTTCTGTAAGTTCACTGGTCATCGAGCAGTAGTTTCCACGTTTACATTCCTTTGGTTCCCACTTGGTCAAAACTGAGTTTATTTGTTCTTGTTTAGAGCCTTCTGTATGACTTAAGCAACAATAAAGTAAGCAGACTGTATTCTAAATGTTCCTTCTGATGTGACAGAAGTCCATATTTTTCTAATTATCAGTGCAGCATCTTCAAGTAGCTTCTTAAAGATACTCAAGAAACTACTAACCAGTAAAACTGCCATCAAAATGTCGTGTTGTGGACAAGGCAAATAACTGAATACTATATATGAAATTCACATTGCTGCCTTTTGTTTCTAGCCCACTGAATTCCAACCCTTTCAGTAAGCAGTTGCAGAAATACACAAAGAATTGTGTTGTTTTTGTGGAAGAAGCAGCTTTAGACAGTTTCAGACCTGGCTGCCGTTCTGCCTGTCTGGTTTTGCTCCAGAAGGTGATCTATTACATTGGAATTGAAGTGCCCTGGGGAAGTCGGGCAGATACTAAATTTTAGGACTTTTTACGTATTTTTTCAAGGCATCATGCCTTCCCAAAGCTGAAAATGAGCACCTTGGATGCTGCATTGAAGCTGAGCAGTGTGAGGCACTGATGATCTAAGGCAAATTTTGGTGAGCCCTCTTCATTCAAAGTTTATCGATAGTTTCTCTGTGTCATGGGGAGACCTGTTTGGCTGTAACCCAAGCTGAGCATTACGTGCTGTTGCTCATGCAAGTGAAATACTCAGTTCTGTTGTAACGATTTTGCAGTCTTCACTGTATGAAGATATATATCTAATGGCTAAAGAAAATTATTTGTGACTCTACACTGAAGCAGAGGAACAGATATGAGAGAGAGAAATTTAGAATTTCATACACCATCTGTGTCTTTTCCTTTTTAATTCTAAAGGCAATTTAAATGTCACCTTCTTCACTCTCACTGCTATTAACAGTAGTCTCCTTCATGGAAACAGACAACTTAATCAAGAAAATACTGTATTTCAGAGAAATTGAGGGGGGAAAAAAGCCCCAAACCTATTACAGGAGCTTTTCCATCAAGACACCTCTTATTAAACTCTTGACTTGGAACATCTGTCTCCTCAGTTCTTCAGAATGCCTTGTACTGTACTTGTTGAACTGTGTTATGGTAAGCTGAGAGATGGGATTAGTTTCCTATTAGAAAGTCAGAAGATCAAGCTGACCATCTGTAAGATAAACATTAGCATGGGATGGCTGGAAGCTGTGAGAAAAAATACTGAAAATGAAACCTGAATTAAACGGGCAAGACCTCTCTTCACATTGCACTGCTGATATGAAGAGTACAACAAAGCTAAAACCGACCACATGAGCCTACCAACTTCAGACGTGGTCTCTCCTAGCTGTAAAGCATAAAGCGTCCAACCTTGCATGGCTCTGTTAAGCGAATAAGGAAGAATGAGCCAGATTTAATGGAAGCACGGTTCTGCATAACAATACTTGTTAAAAGAGTGTAGAGAGTTAATTAAAAATGATGGTTATCCTACAGACCTAGATTCAGGGTTTTGCCTCTCTTCTCTTCGAAGGAATGAGGGCCGCTACACTACAATGCTTCAAGCCACTGCAGTCTTGTGCGCCTTTGGAAGGGACCAAACAAAAAATGACAAAAATGGAATTAGCAAATGGGGTCTTACAAAACATTGGCACATTCTTGAGGCAAAGATGAAAAACGAAGTAATGATTCTTGAGGCAAAGATGAAAAAAAGAAGTAAATCAGCATACGTCGAAAGAAGCAAGTGAGAATGCGGTAGTATATTCTTTAAGGTGAAGGAAGGTGTTTGATTTTTATGACTTTTTTTGGGTATTACCTTGCTAAATCCTGCTTCACTTTCTATAGTTCCAATTATATTGGCTCACCACACTGAGCAACAACAGGGACTTCTGCTGCCTGGCCTCATTTATAATGAGCTGTCTCTGAGGGTTTCACAGACCATTTGTCACCTACAAACGAAACATGTTTCAGAATGAAGCTACCCGCATTGGGCTTAATAAAAAATACAAATACAGGCATTTATCTGTGCCAGAGCAACACGTTTGATTCGTTTGCAGAGTTTAGGGTTGAAGAATGCACGTCAGAGAAGCAAAATCTGCTGTATCAAGAAGCACACGTGGATAGGAAGGTAACTGGAGAAGGCAGCTGCCAGGACACAGCCCTGAGTGATGTTAGGCTGCCTTGAGAAGGGCTTTCTTCCAGTGACCACAAAAGCATCAGGGCTGTCTCTTTTCAAGTAACTACCCATGTGATGCAGTGAGATTGATTACCTCATTTCTAAATCCTCTGAGAAGTCTTAAATGCACGGGAAACACCCCTTTCTCCTTAAACTCCTCTAAGTAAGTTGTGAGATCCTGCATACCCATAATTTGGAGACATGCTTTAAGTGCCTGGTGTGGAAATGGAGATGCATGATTAGGAGAGCACTGCAGAAATGCATTGTTATTTACCTATCAACAGCTTTTTGACATCTCATCTGTTCAACAGAAGCAGCTGATCTCAAATACTTTTCAAAATGAAAGCCATTCCCCACCTGCCAAAACCCCCCAAAACACAGCTGTAACAAAATAAGAGCCTTGAACAGCTATTTGTAAAATATGCTCCTTAAAAAGACTCCAATGTCATGGGAGCTTTCAAACTGCACTTTAACTAAATCATTTCTCCTGAAGCTGAATATATTTCAGTCTCCTACTATGAAAAACAGTGACAGACCAGGCGAGGTTTCTGAATGCAGATGCATTTAAGCTCCAAAACCCTTTACTGAACCACTCAAAAAAACAATTTTAAGCAGTGCTCATCAACTTAGTAGGCACGCCTATATCAAAGCAAATAATAATGGAGTCCATAAATTACGTAGATGCTTTGTATGTTCAGTTTTAGGGCTTCAATTCTACAGATTCTACCTCCAAAGATTTATAACGCTACAACTGGCATTTAGGGTTGAAAACTAAATTGTTGAGAATCTCAAAACCACAGGAAACCGGGAAAGATGACATAATTCCTTTGTCCAAGCTCTGAGCAGTGCTCCCACGGAAGTAGAAGTATATGGATATATATAAAATCAGAACAGAAGAAACCAGAACCCCCCAAAAAATCCACACAGAGTAACCACAAATAAGAAGCACATTTTGAACAAGCAAGGCAAAGACCTCTTATCCCTGATATCAGCACTTGTGCTCAGCTGAGGCATCTGCCCTATCAGTCACAGTTCAGAGCTGTGGAGGAGTCACCAGAGGATGGCTCTCGCACAATGCAGGTGAACATGAGCTTCACAGTGGTCCCACCTGTGAGACTGGGCTCTCCAGCTGGGAACAAGTGGTTCATTTTTGTCTAACCGCTGGTAAATTAAATGCCACAGCAAGAAGAAAGGCCAATTGAATGAGAAAGAGAAGGAAAAGTGCATAAAATACTACCAGAAATAGACCTCATAGCAGCCTTCCAGTATCTGAGGAGGGGCTATAGGGATGCTGGGGAGGGACTCTTCATTAGGGACTGTAGTGACAGGACAAGGGGCAATGGGTCAAAAATTAAACAGGGGATGTTTAGATTGGATATAAGGAGCAAGTTCTTTACTGTTAGGGTTGTGAGGCACTGGAATGGGTTGCCCAGGGAGGTTGTGAATGCTCCATCCCTGGTGGTGTTCAAGGCCAGGTT